ATAAACACTTTGGTGTGTATGTCCTCAGCCTATTTTTCTACCGAAATTAAAATTTTTAGCATATGTTTAAACATTTCTTGCATATATTTTTAAACAAGGTTATTTTCTTTGATTCATTTATTATATAGGCTTTTCAAATTTTCCTTGTTGATTGATAAGAATTTGATTCTATATATGTATATATACTTTTTACATATATAAATTTGCACTTGCAATTTGTTTATGTTTTGGGGATAATAGAGAGGTTGTAAGTCTTCACAATAAAATTTATTAATCTTTACTTCTATGGTTTCTGCCTTTGGCATGATTCTTAGAAAAGTTTCACTAAATATTCACAAACATTACAAATTACAACAGAAATATATTCACTTATGTGTTTAGATATTTTGCTGTTTTAATTGTTATTATTCAAATATTTAAAACATTTTAATTTATTTTATTATAAGACTAAGGTAGCTAAGCAGCCTTATTGATTTCTAAATAATTTCCCAATAATTTAAAGGTATCCTTTATCCTAAGCAGCATATTTGTAATATATGACTCCATTTTTGAACTCTGAAGTTACTTCAGCTTATTATAATTCTATCTATTCTTGTGCAGGTAAAGTATAATTATGATTATGCTAGGCTTATAATACATTTTGATATTGGACACATCTGTCTCCCATGTTTTCCTTTTTTTCAAAAAATTTTCTAGCGATTCTCACAGGATACTTTGGAAGGGCTGGTGGGAGAAGAGACTGAGAGACACCTTTCTGTCACCTGGTGAAGTGGCACTGTCAAAAGTTAATGTATAACTTGGAATATTTTTCAGTCCAGCCTATCTGTAGTAGATTGCCAAATCAATAATCACCAACCTCAGCTGTCGGCGCTGCTACAACTTTTAAATATTTTAGGCTGTGGATGATGAATCGGCACGGCTAATTACCACTACAACCTCAAGATGCTTCCAGATTATTTTTCAAAATATTTTGTATCTATATATAATATCAGTGTTTCTCTAATTTGAAATGCTTGGTAGCTAAATGTCAACTCATTTTCAGGGGCATTTATCCAGGGTGAGAATCTCATTCAACCTTCTTAAACTTTAAAAAATTTGAAGTTATATAAATTAGAATCTGAGTTAAACCCTTTAACCAATATAACATAGGTAAGCAGTCTTGAGAGTTTAATAAAATATTTATGGTTTTCTGAGATTTGTAAGAACTTTATGTATGTGTGTGTGTATTTCCATTAAAATATTATTTAAATTCATGTAAAGTTTAACAATATTTTTAAATTTAACAATATACCTTATACATATTTCCATGTCAGTACTTATAGATTTCCATTTTTAAGTTAATCGTTTAACGATGGACTCTGGGGTGTTTTCCAGTTTTTGATTATTAAAATCAATGCTACAATGAACATTACTGCACATTTATCTTTGAAAACATGGGTTATAAATCCTAAAAGTAAAGGTTTTAAGTTATGCTGCCAAATTTCCATCCCAAAATGTGACAATGCACAAAAAACATTATATGAAAATTCTATATACCCACATACATCCTGAAAAAAAATTGAATTATGTTATTTAAAATTTGATAGCGACAGTATATATCTGTTATTTTAACTTGCATTTCTTTGATTATAAGTAAGGCTGAGCACTCTGTTTAAACGTATTTACTCTTCCACTTCTGTGAATTGATAATCCATACGATGTGTCCATGTTACCATTGTTTGTTTCATAAATGTTTTCTTACTAATTGGTATGTGTTAATTGTAAATCCTGGGAAACAGCTGTTTGTTTCATCTGTTAAAAATATATGTTTACCTCTTTTTTTTTTTGATGTTTACTCTTTTTCCTTTTTTCACTTTCATAAAACATAATGTATCATCCAATCTGCGTGGATTCTAGTTTTTACATCATGGCTAGAATGTTTTATTAGCTTATTATGCTAAATTAATATTTACCTATGTTTGCTTTTACCAAGTTTTATTCTTATAGATGTAAATCTCTTATTCTTCCGAAATTTATTTTCATATGAGAAATGAGATTGGGATTTGCTCTCCCCATTCCTACATACGAGTAAAATGTCCCATTATCATTTACTGAATATTTTCTGCACTGATCCCAAAATCTACCTCTATGGTACATGAAATTCACATATCCATTGTGTTTATGTCTGGACAATAATTTCTGTCTTGCTGTCCCATTCTTCTTGCTCTGGGTCCTCACTCTTTGAAATGTTGTAGCTCTATAATGTTGTGGAGCAAGTAATATATGAAGGCAAACACCACCATGTCACATGGTGTAAGCACGTGTCACAAAGGCAGACTTTATTGGAGAAATTTAAAGTGAAAAATCAGCCAGGTTCCCCCTCTTTTAATAATCCCATGGAGAAGCATGCAGAGGCCAGGTTACTGCTGCTTGCAGCATGGTACTCTGTTCCAAGAAAGCAATCTCACCTGATGATGTGGACACTGACATCAGGAAGATTCTCTTTCCCAAAGGAGAAGAGCCACCACTACCAGCTATCTTATTACAATGTGACCTTCCTGGCTCACCAGGGAACAATTCTTTAGTCTCTCCACACATGTTTTAATGTATTATTTATTATTGTCATTTCTTCTATTTCAGTTTCATTGATTTAGTTTTAGATCATTGAGCCAACATCAAGCTATCATAATCATGTAACCTTTATAATAGGTCTTCGTATATTATAAGTCCTCCAGCTTTGTTCTTCAAGGTTGCCTTGGCTCTCCTTGTACATTTCCACATACATTTTAGAATCAACTTGTCAATTTTCAAAAATGTCCTGGTGGGATTCAAACTGGGAGTAAGTTGAATATAGATGAATTTAAAGACAATTGGCATATTTACAACTCCTAAACCTAATATATCTCTTCATTTATTTAGATGCTCATTTTGTTTTTATTTGTAAAGTATATTGTTTCCTTCTTTAACTCTTTAATATTGTTAGTTATGTAAATAGATTTCCTAATATTAAACCACTCTAGCATTCCTAGAATTAAAAGTAGTAGTTATAATAAGGGCTAAAAAATACCAAGATTATTTTGTACAATCTCATCTTGAGAATTTTGGAATTATTTGCTAAGTGGAAAATGACCTAGTAATTCTACTCTAGTAGTCTATCCTTGAAAAAAAGTCTTCCACATATAAATAAATATATACTTATTTCTTAATTATACCGTTTTTGTAATAGTAATTAAGCAGGAAAAATAAAATTTTTATTTGCAGAATGTTATGTATGACATAATACCATTTATTCACTCAAAACACACACACACAATTATAAGAAAACAAGGACTCAGAATGGCAAGAATATAGTTATTTGTTTATAGGAATAACAAATATAAAAATATTTTAAAAAGCACTTTGTGTCTACTCCTTCCCATTAGTGAAGTCCTCAGTAAGATATGAACTTCATGTTTTTTTCACTCTTTTTTTTTCAGCACTCACTTAAAAATATATATATTGTTATCTTAATATCTCTTCTTAGCTATCTAGGATATCTTCCTTGATACCTTGTTTCAAAAATGCTGGTTTGACTTATTCTACCTGAGTCTGCTTTGTCTATATAGAACAACATCAGAGTGTTTCCTTTGGACCCCCCTTTGTTTACCAGAGCTCCACACTTATAATATCCTTATAAATTACATGATGTCTAAAGATAGATGTACAAACAGATCTGTTTATACATTCAGCTACTTGAAGTCAAAGGAAGTTAAGTGGGTCAGCTGGAAGCCAGCAGCAACCATTCATTATACTACATTTGAACACTTTATTTCCCAATTTGATAAATCCACAGGCCCATTTGTCATGGATTGAATTGTGTCCCCCAAAAAATATGTGTAGCAACTTGGCTAGGTCATGATTCCCAGTATTGTATGATTGTGTTATCTGATGTGATTTCCTTATGTGTTGTAAACTCTATCACTATGATGAGATTATATGTGATCTCCTTATGTGTTGTGAATTCTATCACTGTGATTAGGTTATACTGATGAGGTTGACAAGATTAGATAGTGTCTTAATACAATCTCTTTTGAGATATAAAAGAGAGAAACAAGCAGAGACACATAGGAACCTCGTACCACCAAGAAAGCAGTGCCAGGAGCAGAGCGTGTCCTTTAGACCTGAGGTTCCTGCTCAGAGAAGCTCCCAGACCAAATGAAGACTGATGCATCACCAGGACCTTCCTCCAGAGCTGACAGAGAGAGAAAGCCTTCTCCTGAAGCTGATGCCCTGAATTTGGACTTGTAGCCTACTGGACTGTGAGAGAATAAACTTCTCTTGTTAAAGCCATCCACTTGTGATATTTCTGTTAGAGCGGCACTAGATGACTGAGAGACCATTGAAGGCACCATTGAAGAAGTCCCCAAATATTTGGACTCTTCTTACATTTTAGGGAAAATGTAGGCAGAAGGCCATCTCAGTTATGCCACCAAACTGGGACTTCTAACGGCAGCTACGATTGACTTCTAGATTTTCAGTTCTCTTTAACTATCTGCTCAATTTCATTTGCTGGGTTCTGTTTCTCAAGAAAACCATTTAGCCCTTTCTTCACTTATATGCCCCTTAGTATTATGTTACGTGAAAATAGAATTCAAATTGGAAGGAGCATTTTCCTCTGGCAGATCAATAAATCTGTTCCTCAAATTCTAAAAAATTGGTAAGACCTTCCACACCGTGTGACCAACTGAGAACTAGTTTTCTCAATATTAGTGCATATATGGGTTGCATATCAACAGCTTCAATTTTCTTCAAACACCTTGACTTCTGACAGATATTCTTCATAATCTCTGCTAAGAAATTATCACTGTTCTTTTTTTTAAATTTTGGATTAAGTATTGTTCAATATTTTTTATTTGTATTTCACATTTCAGTGGATTTCAGGAGGTCGAATTAACTAAATGTGTATTTTGTCTCTCAGATTTATCTCACAAATTTCAATCTGTTTTAATTTTATTTTAGGTAACATGTCAACAGCCAAACAAATGGAAAGACAAAATCACTCCATCATGTCTGAATTTATTTTGCTGGGACTCACAGAGTCTCACGAGTTACAGATTTTCTTTTTCATTTTTTTTTCCATTATCTACATAGCCATTGTGTTAGGCAACCTCACCTTTATCTTTGTAGTGAAATTGGACCCTCAATTGCACTCTCCCATGTACTTTCTGCTGGCCAACCTCTCCTTTATTGGTATGTCCCTGGACTCTTTTGCTACTCCCAAGATGATCTTTGACTTACTTAGTGAATATAAGTACATCTCTTATGAGGCTGCATGACCCAGATGTTTTTCCTTCACCTTTTAGGTGGAAGTGAGATGATGTTGCTCGTAGCTATGGCAATTGATAGATATGTTGCTATATGCAAACCCCTCCATTACAAAACTATCATGAGCCATAGTGCTGCATCAGGCTTGCACTTCTCTCCTGTACCACTGGTTTTGTGAACACTATGAGCCAAATGATTTTCACAGTGACCCTACCATTCTGTGGCCCCAGTGTTGTGGACAGTTTCTTTTGTGATCTGCCTCGGGTCATCAAACTTGCCTGCAATGAAGCTTACCTCTTGGAGCTGCTGGTCATTGCAGACAGTGGAGTACTCTCTTGTTTTGTTTCATCTTTTTGCTCATCTCCTATAGCATCATCCTGATTCATGTTCAGCATCACTCCTCCAGTGGGTCTTCCAAGGCCTTGTCCACTCTTTCAGCCCACATCACAGTGGTGGTATTGTTCTTCAGACCTTGTGTCTTCATCTATGTGTGGCCATTCATCAGTATTTCCATAGATAAGATCCTCTCTGTGTTTTATACAATTTTTACACCCCTTTTAAATACAATCATCTACACATTCAGGAATAAAGACATGAAGAAAGCAAAAAAAAAAAAAAAAAATAATAATAATAATAAAAAAATAAAGACCAAGCATGTGAGTTCCAGATGAACCTTTTAACTGAGATATTATAATCATCAAAGAGAATATCATCATCATTATCATCATCAAAAGACATTAAAGTGTAGAGTTTTGTACCAAACAAACAGAAGTCATACTTTGGTAAATGATAACTTTTCCCTACAGAAGCATATATGCAATAAAACACCTTGGACTGTGCATCCAAATACACACTAAATAATATTATTCACTTATGTTGTAATTTTAAATTTTTGTTTCAACTACATTTTTACATCAACTGAACCCCTGGTGGTGCAGTGGTTAAGAGCTCAGCTGCTAATCAAAAGATTGGCAGTTGGAATCCACCAGCCGCTCCTTGAAAACCCTATGGGGCAGTTTTACACTGTATTATAGGGTCACTATGAGTCTGAATTGACTCAACGGCAACGGGTTTGGATTTTTTTTTTTTTTTTATCAACTGCATTAGATTCTAACTACCATTTATTGATTTCTTACCAAGAATTAGGCATTTGACATGTATTTTCTCTTATCTTCACAAACTTGAGACTAGAGAATGTTCTTTACATATTATCAAAAGGAAACAGAGTCTTAGAATATTTAATGAACTTGCAACAATAATTTCTAGAACTTACAACAAAAATTACTAGTACTTGATCTTGGAATCAGAGCCTACATATCTAACTACATAAGCTCTACTTTTCTAATTAAGAGTATTTTTCTACCTACATTTTAATAACATCAATAAAGTTTTTGTTTCCTGTACCCTCCTTTAGAGATCATAACCAAAAACCCAAACCAAATTCATTGCCCTCAAGCTGTTTCTGACTCATGGCAACCTCATGTGTTACAGAGTAGAACTACTTCATAGTGATTTTTTTAAATTTTAATTTTATTGTGCTTTAGGTTAAAGTTTAGAGCTCAAAATAATTTCTCATTTAAAAATTTATACATATATTGTTTTGTGACATGGGTTGTAATCCCCACAATGTGATAACACACTCCTCCGTTCCACCCCAGGTTCTTTGCATCCGTTTATCCAGTTCCTGTCTCTTCCTGCCTTATCTTCCTGCTTTTGGATAGGAGTTGCTCATTTGGTCTCGTATGTTTGATTGAACTAAGAGGCATGTTCCTCACGTGTGTTATTTTTGTTTTATAGACCTGTTCAATCTTTGTCTGCATAGTGCGCTTTGGGAATGGTTTCAGTTGTGAGTTAGCAGAGTGTCCAGGGGCCATAGTCTCAGGGGTTCCTCCAGTCCTTGTCAGACCCGTAAGTCTGGTCTTTTTTCATGAATTTGAATTTGGACGTTCTTTTCCAGTTCTGTCCAGGACTCTGTTGTGATCCCTGGTAGAGCAGTTGGTGGTGGTAGCCAAGCACCATCTAGTTCTTCGGGGCACAGGCTGGAGGAGTCTCTGGTTCATGTGGTCCTTTAGTCTTTTGGACTAATATTTTCCTTGTGTCTTTAGTTTTCTTCATTCTCCTTTGCTCTGGACGGATGGGACCAATAGATGTATCTTTGATGGTCGTTTGCAAGCTTTTAGGACCCCAGACACTACACACCAAAGTAGGATGCAGTACATTTTATTTATGAACAATGTGATACCAATTGACCTAGATGTCCTCTGAGACTACGGTCCCCAGCCCCTAGCCCCAGTAACTCAGTCCCTCAAAGTGTTTGGATGTATCTAGAAAACCTCTATGCTTTTGCTTTGGTCCACTTGTGCTGAATTCTCCTATATTGTGTGTTGTCTTTCCCTTCATTGAAGAGGACACTTGCCTACTATCTAGTTAGCAATTTCTCCTTCTTCTCCCTCCCCACCCTCATAACAACCAAGAATTTTTTTTTCTGTGTATAAACCTTTTCTTGAATTCTTATAATACTGGTCTCATGTAGTATTTGTCCTTTTGTGATTGACTTATTTTACTCAGCATAATGCCCTCCAGATTCATTCATGTCGTGAGATGTTTCACGAGTCATCATTGTTCTTTATCCTTGTATAGTATTCCATTGTATGAACATACCATAATTTGTTTATCCGTTCATCTCTTGATGGGCATTTAGGTTGTTTCCATCTTTTTGCTATTGTGCTGCACTGAACATGGGTATGCATATGTCTATTCCTGTGAAGGCTCTTTTTTCTCTAAGGTGTATTCCTATGAGTGGGATTGCTGGATCATATGTTATTTCTATTTCTAGCTTTTTAAGGAAGTGTCATATCATTTTCCAAAGTGATTGTACCGTTTTCCATTTCCACCAGCAGTGCATAGGAGTTCCAATCTCTCCACAACCTCTCCAACATTTGTTATTTTGTGTTTTTTGGATTAGTGCCAGTATCATTGGGTGAGGTGGTATCTCATTGTAGTTTTGACTTGCATTTCTCTAATGACTAATGATTGCCAGCATTAGTGTCTTTGACCACCTGAATGTCTTTTTTAGTAGTGTCTGTTCATATCCTTTGCTCATTTTTAGAGTGGATTAATTGTCTTTTTGTTGTTGAGGTGTTGAAATATTTTGTAGATTTTAGAGATGAGAACTTTGTGGGGTATTTCATAGTCAGAAATTTTCTTCCCAGCCTATAGTTTCCGTTTTTACTCTTTGGTGAGCATAAGTGTTTAATTTTTAGGAGCTCCCTATTATCTAGTTATTACTAACATTATCATCTAATTTCTCTTCTGGTAGATTCTGACTCATGGCGACTCCCTGTGTAAGAGTAGAACTTCTCCATAGGGTTTTCTTCGCTGTAATCTTTATGGAAGTATATTGTTAAGACTTTCTTTCACAGCTTTGTTAAGTGCATTCCCACCACCAACCTTGAGATTGGTAGCAGAGTGTAAACCATTTGTACCTCCCAGTTACCTTGATTGATAATAAGACTCTTCAAAGCCGTTATCCCAAACTAGCTTTCTGTTCTCATCAAAAACTGTCCTTTCTTCAACACTTCCAACAATGTATGGCTTAATTCAGACCTACTAGATATGCTAGAATATTTTATTCTTATATGTCTTTCTACATGTAATTAACTCTGCCTAGAATTTTTTTCTTCGTGCAGCAAATACTATTTTTTCTTTTTAAATTATACTTCAGGTGAAGGCTTACAGAACGAATAGTTTCTCATGAAACAGAAGTACACATGCTGTTTTATGACATTGGTTAACAACCCCAAAACATATCAACCCTCTAAATTCTCAACCTTTTTTTTTTTGGTGAAAATGAACATAGCCAAAGATACACCATTTCAAAAATTTCTACATGCACAGTTCAGTGACATTGACTACGCTCTTCCAATTGTGCTGTTATTCTCACTTAAGATG